CGAGATTCCAGATCCGAGATTCGAGATCCGAGATTCGAGATCCGATTCTCGGGGTCCGAGATTCAAGATTTCCACACTGTATCCGGCCTTGACAACCGTGATTGTTGCTTGGTTGTCCTGCTCGAAAAAAATGTCAACATTTGACTCTACCAAGGTCTCAAGCATCAGATGTAGGTGCAAAGTTTTTCCGAACAATGCTCCTGCCAATGCTATCAGTTCGGCTTCTGTGGTGCTTCTTGCAGTTGAACTTTGTTTCTTGCGCGGTGCCTGTAACCATTGTCACGTTCGATCTCAATTCTTGAGAAGTTTGCCGATGCATCCAATGTTATTAACGACATCCTTGCTACTGTATCGGCGCTGATCCATCCTTGACCCGCTTTTTGTGCGCGGCAACTTTGATTTGGTTCGAAATTTCGCTGCTTGGTGAGAGTTGTCCTTGTATTAAATTTGCAAGGTTAAATCCTCGACAGAAGCCACCTCATTCGAGCGTTCGCGCAACGCTCTGGGTAATGACCTGCTAACGCATGTCGACTCACTGGTCACTCAGAGCTCCAACAATATCCGAACAATCGAATGTAAGCAACGTGCATATGAGTGCCAAGCTGTCACTTCAATGGCTCTTGTGTTCCTGGCGGCCGCGCGTTGAGTCCTCTCATTGGCACAGTCACCATGGGGTATCGGTATGGGCTCTCAGAGTGTCACAACTTGATCTTTCCCCGGCCATTCAAGACTTGCCAGGTAAAATCAGGCCACGATTCAGGCATGTCAGCTGTGGTGGCCCATGCCTCACGTTCATTAAAGTCTAACCACGTTTTTAGCCGTTCAACAAAAATTGTGCAGTGTGAAAGATTTTTGTTTATTTGCTAAGGCTCGGGCATGCCATGATGTAAACAAGGCAGTGTATTAAATACATTTTAGTACCGTCCCCAAATAAGTGGGAATTTTGCAATCGGAGAATAAAGTGATTTGCAGGTTCAATTTGGATCTGTTGGAATATCACAAGATCCGCAGTAGCTCGGTTGCGACGGTCTGCTACAGTTGCAGACCCCACCTCTTTGGCCAGGTCACAACAAGTGCAAGCAGTCTATTTCAAATTCAGCCTTTGGATGACGCCCATGAATATCAAAGCAGTGCCACGCAGTGCTGAATTCCAGATACATTGCCATTTTTAGAAGACAAACAAACAGTTCTGCGGCTGTTGCTCAGTTGCCGCTGATGCTGATGGTGAGGCGTTGCTAGGGCTGCTGTTGCATGGGCCATTAAGACCATTGTCGTTGTAGGCCAAACCTTCTAGAAACCTTGCAAATCCAGATTCTGAAGTCAAAAGGCGTTTGCATGTTGGGGGTGGAAAACCTTTTTTGACCAAGGCTGCTCACGAGGGCGACGCTGGAGCATTGGAGATGGGCCGGGCATCCTGGACCAACCAAACAACATATTTTGGCGCGCGTCTAGTGAAGTCGCCATATTCACCAACTCGACAACCCTGGCGCAGAACGCTCGCTTTTGAGACCAGCTAAGCTAGACCACGTGACGTGACCGCATACACTGTGCGATTGGACGCGCATGGGTTCTTGAGTGACATGGGTCCACGCAGCACGCTTTCACCAGAAGGATTTCGCCATTACAAAAACTTTACTTGATTCTGGTGCAGTGCCCACACATTCCGGAGAGGGATTGATAAAGAGAGTTCCCAAAGCACTGAATGCGTTGTTCTGGCTGCTGCAAATTTGATGGCGTCTGAGAACGCTTGAAAACAAAATGCTTTGCTCAGCCGATTTGCGCGCGGGCCTTTGAGGCTTAACCAGCGAATCTCACTTCAGCGCTTGCAGCCTCAGCTTTCTGTCCCCTCCAGCGGGGCCCACGTCGATGTTTCCGGTGAGCTGTTTGATTGCCAGCCGTGTGAGCTTTTTGAAGTGGGCAGGGCCCCCTGACTTTTGACAGCCAAGCACTTTGCCTAGGGCCCAGAAGTTTCTTTTTCGGCTTGAGGTCACCATCGTCTCGCCTGACTTTGCTTCTTTGACCCGGGTGGCTTGCCTAATCAGCGAGGAACCAGTGTGGCTTTGGTCAGGTGTTCTTCGGGCGAGATGTTTCAATTTGTGTTTTTGACGGGAGGCGTGCCTCAACAAATGCATTCGCACGGGGCCACCCAGGTGCAGAGACAGCAGAAAGTCTACGAGGCGTTGGGGGGCGTGATGCCCGGAAACCCAATCTCTTGTGGGTTTTTTGCGTTGGCCCACAGCCAGCTAGTGATTGATGCGTCTATTTTGAACACTAAGGCCTCGCATCCACGCGCTGTCGCTCGTGACTCGCACGCCTGAAGAAACTGATGATGACGGGCAGTAGTCTGGCCGGGGCGAAGCCCAGTGCCTGTGGAACTTGATCTGCTCACGGCTCACAGAATTGAAGCCTGTTGGACATTGAAATTGTTTCTGGGCAGCTTGATCAACGTTCCGCTTCAAGACCCAATTCTGGCTTGAAAAGATTTGTCGCAGGCGTTATTTTAGGATGAGGTGATTTTCTTCAGCATTGAGCTGTCGGCCCTTTTCCTGGATAGGAAGCGCCAACACCAGAGCACAAATGTCAGAGATCTGAAGGGTCTACTACCCCAACCCAAACAGGATTGCAAGCCACAAAACCGTGGAACTTTGTTTCAGGTTGAAAATAAAGCCACTCGACGACTTCGGCGCACGGTTGTTTTGAGGGGGGGTGGAAATACAATCCCCACCCCCTTAGCCTAGGAAAATGGGGCGGGCGTCAAAAAAATGTAAGTTACATTTTCGGGGGGTGGTTAAATGTATGTTAAGCCAGGTACCCCCCCCACAAAATAAGGTCCATCGTGCGATGATAACCCCTTGGGATTTTGTGGGGAATCCTCTCGGTCCGCCAGTGTGCGGATAGTGACTCTTGAGACGGGGTGGGGGTGGTTGGTTCAAGGGCTCCAATTTTTTCCAACCCCCGAACCTTTTTTTTCCAACCTACCCTTTTTTCCAGCCCCCCAAACCCAAACCCTTTTTTCCAATCCCTCAAAATATGTTCTTTTCAACCCCCCACAATCCTTTTTCCCGAAAGCATTGCGAAGGGTTCTTCCGGAAAATCCTTTGAACACTGACACTTCGACACTTACACTTCGACACTCACACTGACACACACACACACACACACTGGAAGAGCGAAAGCATCGAAGTGCGAAGTA